CCAAGACGTCCTTTGAATAAGAAAGGTAAATAAAACACATTAACATACCTACTTTCTTCTTTCCACTTCTTATTTCTACATGGTGGCTCAGTTGTAAAGAATCCACCTGTGATGCAAGAGACACAGGTTCTTTCCTGGGTCAGGAAGATCCCCTGGAGAAGGAAATGGCAACCCACTCCTGTATTCTTGCCTCGGAAATCCCATGGACAGAGGAGCCTAGCGAACTAGAGTCCATGGGGTTGCAAAGAATCAGACAAAACTTAGTGACTAAACCACACTATCACCACCACTTCTTACGTGGGTTTTATTTTTATGAATACTGACCTTCTCAGTTTCTAAAGTAATACATAATGGGAGAAATGTGCACATTGTTGCATTAGCAATTTTACATTCAAGGGAGAGAAAGAGATACTTTTAAATTACAATCAATGTTTTCCCTACCTTAAGCAAAGATAATAAAACATAAGCATTTACCCCCTTTAGAGGTAATTTCAAATTTTTCCATGAGGATTTAAGAATGAAGAAAGTTTAATAGAAAGATAGGTATTCAAGCACAAGTAGATTTATTATAAGGGAAGGAAAAAGTTTGAAGTAAGTATATTATATAAAGAATTTCCCATTATATATTTAAAGGTAATGGTTCTTACCAGTATAATAATTTTATTAGTGAATATAAATTTTTCAGTCATACTCTCCAATTTGCTGAACAATCTGAGTGAAGAATTTAGAGATTCTGTTTGTATCAAGAAAAGAAAAATTTACTTGTATGCCTTCCACATATTGTGGGTCACCATGTTTTTAAAGTTGACAGTCAACATCTGCCCTTTCATCAAAAGTACAATTGCTCATCTGCCCATAGTAATGTTATACTTCAATTAGATAGAAAATCCTGGAGAACAAGAGAACATCAGCCTTTCTGAAATGAGGTCTTACTAGAAATATATAACAAAAGACTTGCATTTGTTTAACTAAATGTTCTGCATTAAATTTTTTAGATGACTGTTCTCCAGTGTCATACCACCAGCCTAAATTGATCAGAACATAATTTGCTTTAATGAGTGATTTACATAAAATTAAAAGCAGATTTGTCTTGCTTGTTCAGACTATCATTGAATTTCTTTTATATCTTGGGCGTGCTATTATTTCTGTTTGCACTTCATTTGTTTATTCTGTAACATAACATTAATATCTATCTTGATTATTTCAATAGAACTGTTGTGTGATTCAACTGAGATGGTACATTTGAAAGTTCTTCATGAAGAGAAAAAGTATCTACATTTACATTGTTACTGTAGAACCTATCTTTGTACTCAGGATAGAGTTATCCTTCAGTGAATATCTGTAAATAGATGATTAAATCCTATCACTTATTAATTTCAGGTAGCTATCAAGTTCCAGAAGATGCAGAGTAGAGTCTGTCCCTTACTGTGCCACCAAACATCCTGGATTTTCAGATGTAAAGCACAGAGATTGACCATTGTGTTTTCTTAGGATCTTTTTAGTTCCATTAAGCTATGATTCTGTATAATTAATACATCTCAACTGAATTCTGTTTGTCTTTTTTTATCATTTACAAATGCTTTCTGCTGCAAGACAAAGAAAGCTTGACCACAGTGACAAAAAACAGGGTGTTCCTTTTCAGACATTATAAGAAATCTTGAGATTGGTGCTTGCTTAGTAAGCAAAAGTAGGGCATACATCTCTCTAAGTTTCTTGGCTTATAACGTAGTGTCTCCTGTAACCATTATGCCCATAATCAAAGTTAGAATAATTCAGATTGAGTGGTTTCAGGGCCTCTGAATTATCTTGCTAGAAAAGAAACTGAAAGCTTTCATCAGATTTCTGTTTGTATCTCTTTAGCCATCTCTTTGACCATAACTTTGGCCATCCACCCCAATTTGAAATGAAATCTGAGTTAGGGAGTACTTGGCAGAACGCAGTTCTCAACAAAATCAGGAATCTATTAACAATCAGAAAACAGGATTGGGATACTGAATACTTAACCAACAGTGCCCACCATGTTCCTCTACTTATGAGTTTATCTTTTCATGTTGTGATCCATTTGTGTATTTAATCATGCTTCTTAAAGGCCAACTCCTACAGTCTTTTCATAATCTTTCTCAAATGGGATTTCTTCTGTGTGTTTCTTCCAACAGCTCAATCAGAATGAAATACTTGCTCCAGGTGGCCTGTGTTCTGTAAATTTCTGTTGCCTGCTTTCACATAGCAAAAGCATTTTTGGAATGGACAAAATTAGGGAAATTAGTATCTTAGACTAAGAAGGAGCCTGGACAAAAGTTAATGACTGACAGATATTTATTTAACTGCATTGGCTCAGATGGCAAAGCATCTACCTGCAATGCAGGAGTCCTGGGTTTCATCCCTGGGGTGGGAATATTCCCTGGAGAAAGGAATGGCACCCCAGTCCAGTATTCTTGCCTGGAGAATTCCATGGACAGAGGAACCTGGTGGGCTACGGTCCATGGGGTCACAAAGAATCAGACATGACTGAGCGACTAACACATCTTACCTACCCTACTTTTACTGGTTATTATTTACTCCAGGTTATTATTTACTCAAAATTAGATCAAGTCTGGTTATTAGCTCAAGTTATATTCTTAACTTCTACTTAATAGCTACTTTCAATACTACCAGAAATTCTGTGTTGTGGTGCTGTAGCTAAGAAGTGATTATATGACTGTCTTGTCTTTTAAGTATCACATACATAGCCATTTATAATATTAACAAAAAATGATTGTTTAGTGAACACCTTTATGCTAAATGTTGTAAAAACCATAAAAGACTCAAAGAAAAACAAAGAGATAAATTTACAAGCAAACAAAACAACAAAGCAGGTCGGAACACTGCAACTTAATCTCTTAGAGACTCAGCAATGCCCTCTTGCAAATTCAGAGCACTCAGTGATGCGCTGAATTGAAACCAGAAGTTAAATGCATAATTTGTTTAGCCTTTATATCATTTCCCCCTGAGGCAATATGACACTAGATATGAGGGGACCTTCATATAATCAGTGTTTAAGGACAATGTTCAAAGTTTAAAATCCTAATCTAAGTTTGGTTAAGGCTTCTTTTGTGGCTCAGCTGGTAAAGAATCTGCCTGCAATGTGGGAGACCTGGGTTTGATCCCTGGCTTGGGAAGATCCCCCAGAGAAGGGAAAGGCTACCCACTCCAGTGTTCTGGCCTGGAGATTTCCATGGACTGTATAGTCCATGGGGTCGCAAAAGGTTGGATACAACTGAGCAACTTTCGCTTCACTCACTCAAGTTTGGATCAGTTCAGGTCAGTTCAGTCACTCAGTTGTGTCCGACTCTTTGTGACCCCTAAATCGCAGCACGCCAGGCCTCCCTATTTGAGTGGCTCTCAATATAGAACCAAAAATTATTCAATTTAATGTAATATGATCCTAGAGCAGCCATTCTTAGTAGGAATTTGAAAACAATAAGACTAGATTAATGATTACTGTCATCTGTCATTTGGTTGTTTGTTGTTTAATTGCTAAGTCATGTCTGACCCTATGGACTGTAGCCCGCCAGGCTCCTCTGTCTATGGGATTCTCCAAGCAAGAATACTGGAGTAGGTTGCCATTTCCTCTCCAAGGGATCTTCTCTACCCAAGGACTATTATTTTAAGTTATTCTAATTTTTTGCCTTGTCAATGTATTTTCCTCAGCAGTGCTATATCCCAAGAAGTGTTCAGTAGGAAGATACACTATTATACAGTATGTTATCTTTCAATATGCATTTAGTGATTATAAAAGTTAAGATTTATTCATACAGGTTTTATTTAAAGGTAAATAACCTGTTATTCACAATATGAAGTTGATATTAACAATTTGGAATTCAATCATAAAGATAGTCTATAGGGTCTATTCTCTAAGTGCTTTAAGCCATCAAATCTCAGTATAGCTTTTAAATTGAGTTTTAGAGACTTAAGAAATTACTGGCTTCCAAAGATGATCTAGAAGAAATTAAAGCTAAAGATCCTGAATTTCTTCTTCAAAGGAATGTCAAGGGATTTCTGTTAGGATTTTTGCTATGATTTCAGTTCTCACTGTAATTACGAAAATGAACCAAATGAAACAGTACATTTTAAATTTTATATCAGATTAAATGAAAAGACTATAACGGAGACATTTCTGTAAAAGTTGTAGAGATAGTGAATTCTAAATGGGCAGCTGAAATCAATATCTGGTAACCAGTTCATTGAACTAAAAAAAAAAAAAAGAAAGAAACACACATCATTCAGACATACTACCAGGAAGAAAGATAACATGATTATTTTTAAAAGCTTTAATCTAGTAAATATTCACACATATATTAGTTAAAATAGAAATTATACCTCTCTGTGTATTTGAGATACAAATTAGGAAATATATTAAAATCTTTATTTTAGGCCATTACCAGAGAAGTTTAGGGATGATACCGTCAAGAGAGAGCAAAATGTCATAGATCAGGAGATCTGTATATAAAGAATCTTAAAATATAGACGAAGCCATGATTTCTTCCTTCAGTTTACAATGCGTGAGCATAAAATTGTTTACACATCAACTGATTAGAAAACAAGTGGGTGTGTAATACAGTGCTAACTACAGAGCAGAGACTGTGCACATTGCATCATGTTTAAAAAGGAAATGGCTGCATGATGACATGGCTTTGGTTTATTTTCTCCACAAATGGTCCAATGCCAAGTAAAGCTGTGAAAACATGAACTGGAAATTTCATCACACTCTAGTGCCAAAATCATCTAACTCTTGTGGGTTTTTTTTTTCCCCCCTTAACATTTGGTGCAAGTACAAACATATACATGGAGAAACTATATTGGGCCACATTATTTGCTTCTGTGATTTCTGGGAGGGAAAAAAAAATGGGTTTTATTCATAATAAATGCATGCCCTAGCCTCCTGAAATCTGTTTGATGCATTTTCAAGGATCCACTTTCAAATTTATCACAGAATTTTAAAAGAGTCATTTTGTTTGTAGCTTGTCGACCAGGTTTCTACAAGGCTTCAGACGGTAATATGAAGTGTGCTAAGTGTCCACCTCACAGTTCTACTCACGAAGATGGTTCAATGAACTGCAGGTGTGAAAACAATTACTTCCGAGCAGACAAAGACCTTCCATCCATGGCTTGTACCCGTGAGTAGTTTTGCTGCAACCCATGCCTCCATGTTTGTTTTCTTTACTTTTTTCTTCTTATTGTGTTTTGTTTTTGTTTTTAGCATTTGGCCCATTTCCTTCTGTTATCCATGTGCAAATTAAAAGCTTTCTCTGCTTCACTCTTCATGCTTGGCTCACCACAAACGCAACATTTATCACACAGAATGAATTAGTTTTTAAATCACTTCTTACAACAGGACCCCTAGAAAGGAAAAAAAAAAAATTCTATATCTTGTTTTAGATCTTGCATTATTTTGACAGGGTAGGGGAGGTTATAGGCATGGGATTTGCGTCTTTACTTTTCTATTCCCTCTTGTTATGTGTTGGTCATAGGTCATAGGGAAAAAGAACTAAGATTTATAAAACTAATACTAAGGTTTTCATAACTATTCACAAGGGCATTGAATTTAGTAGTAGATTCCTTCCTTGGACTTTGTGAATGCATCTTCAAACTGGAGTCCAAACTGCCCCGTTCATAGGTTGGGGAGGACAGTCCTCTGGAATCCATGTGTCTATAACCTCCCAGATCCTCTAAGGACGAATTAAAAGTATAAAATAAAAGACAAGATGGTTATTTACCTCTTTCAGTTCCATTGTAAATTATCTATTTCCCTTGTAGTAGAAAACCAACATGAGGCTCATTAATCTTTGTTGAACTACTTTGCAGGACCTCCATCTGCACCGAGAAATGTGATATCTAATATAAACGAGACCTCGGTTATCCTGGACTGGAGTTGGCCCCTGGACACAGGAGGCCGGAAAGATGTTACCTTCAACATCATATGTAAAAAATGTGGGTGGAATGTAAAACAGTGTGAGCCGTGCAATCCAAATGTCCGCTTCCTCCCTCGACAGTTTGGACTCACCAACACCACGGTGACAGTGACCGACCTCCTGGCACACACTAACTACACCTTTGAGATCGACGCCGTTAACGGGGTGTCAGAGCTGAGCTCACCACCAAGGCAGTTTGCTGCAGTCAGCATCACGACTAACCAGGCTGGTGAGTACCTTCTGGGCACTTCCTCCTCTGCCTTCTCAGAGCCAAGTAACAGTTTCAACAGAAAAGAGTGGAAGAAAGGGCAGGCGGAAAAAGATGGGAAAAGGATATTCTATCACTTTTGGACAGTTATGGTACATTAACTAGCTCAATTTCATTCTTCAGAGTGAAAAGAAATCATATTTGTTAGATGATTTTAAACTAGTTTAATCCACTGCTTAACAATTTGAAAGCTTTTTAAATATTTGGAGCTCTGGAGATAGTACTTGCGGGGCTCCTTGCAACGTTTCCATATTTTAAAGAATTAAACAGAACATTGGCTCAAGCTTGGAAGAGCATATACAGGATATTTAAAGCTATAAATATCTTTAACTTAGTTGTAATTTTATCAGATCTGTGTATAGTTGATCAGTTATTTTATGCTCCCCAGAAGCTCTGAGTAGTATAGATCAGACAGTTAAAACTCTCTGATTAATTAAAAGGGAGAAAACAAATCCATTTTATTTAATAGGCACAATTTGTATCTTAAAATTAAAAATGTGGAATTTGAGGAGAAACTGTTAAAAAGAGATCTTGCTGGAAAACAGTTTTAATCACTGATATAAAAAATTTCCAGGTATACATTTTTTGGTGATTTCACCAACTGTATTTTCCTTTGACAATCTTTTCCTAATCAAAAAGAATAGCTATACTGCCCAATCATAAGCAAAGGGCTTTTAATGTAGAATAGAAAAATTGAGCACACAAATGTCTCACTTTTTCCTTATATCCACAACATTTCTCTTTTCTTTACAGTTAGTAAATCTTGTAAATTTACTCTTCAATTAAATCTTCGATCACTCTTTAAATCTTTGATCACTCTTTAAATCTTCTTTTTGTGATTTTATTTATTATGGTTTTTTTAACAGTATGGTGTCCAGAATTGTTGATGGGGTTTTAGTTGTGATTCTCTCAAACATATAGAAGAGTTACACTTTGTAGATATACAGAGATTCACCAGTGATGTCCCTTTAAAACAAGGCAATCATTTATCAACGGTGATAACTAGGATGAATGAACAAAATGAAATCAACAAAGCTCGCGCAAAATTAAGCTGATAGATATTTATTGTCCATAACTGTTGCCATAAGATAGCATAATTAGAGATACATTTCAAGCAATTCAATTCAGAGATATTATTGTATAATTTTTATGCAAGCAAAGAAACATTGGAGCCAAAAAGGGGGAAAGGAAGAAAAAGGGTGGCACTCTGAGGATGCTTCAACCAGATAATACAGACCCTCATGTCTGCTCCCAGGGGCACTCTCCCTGAGCTGGAAGTTAGGATTGAATGTAAACTCAGCTTCTTTTCTGCATTTGGTTTAAATTATGGAAGTCCCCCAGCTCTCAAGCAAGATTTGTTCCTTGCTTTGAAGATATGAATACTGAATGTCAGAAGGAATGAGAAAAGAAAGATGACTACATTTTATCAGCTAGAAGAGGTCTTAAAGCAGCCAGATAACTAGCCGGGGAACTCGTCACTTCCTTTCACTTGTCTGACTCAGGGAATTTAGTTAAACTACCCAAGTTCAAAAGTAGTATATCATCAGGATTAATAGCCAGCAAGTATGCACGAGTATGACTTTGCTGGTGGGTAAAATTGTGTACTTATGTCCACACTGGTTAGAAGCAGGGACAGTTACTTCTGTAGGTGAACATAGAAATGCATCTGTACTTGTGAATTCCTCAAGTACCCTGAGAGAGCCCCTAAACCCAATATATCAGGGCCCCCATTTTCTTACCCCATAATCTAGCAATCAAGGGATAAATCTTGGCCTTAGAGGCATTTCTATATCAGTACCTCAGGTCCCCCTTCTTCTTCTCCCTTAACCCAGCAACCAAAATGATAAATCCTGGCAGCAGAGAGGCCTCCGGATCCCTGTGCTGGAACTCTTCCAACTTGAAGGCTCCGTGTCCCTGCCATGCCAGTAGACAGGTGTTTTGAATATAACCCCTGGCAGAGTCCATGTTTAAATGTGTCTCTTTCTGCTTCTAAACCCCTCTTTTGTTCCCACATTTCTTATAGTCCCCTATATTGATGAAATTCTTATAATATTACATTGTCTTATGGTGATAAATAAAGTTTATTTGTGGAAAAGACATGACTTTTTAATCAAGTGCACTTAATCATTATTTTAATCTTCCTTACTGAATTTGTAATCTCTCCCACTAGAAGGTAGATCTCAGATCAAGCAACATACGCTTTTGTTTTGCTTCAGTTAGTGATATTTAAACTTTGTAACTAATAATATTTAAAGACTTGTAACTTAGGTTTATTTAACTGTCCTCCATGAGAGAGAAAATAGATGAGTAATGTTGTTGCTATGTATCACATGATTACAGCTTCTCATATTCAATGAATGCAGGAATTTTAAGAAATTATAATTATGTGGCAAATGGCTTTCCTGAATCCCATATTTTACTCTGATTTACTACCTTGTTTAAAATAGGAGCATCAATCTGTGTTATAATTATCTCCCAAGTCAAACAGAAATGTATAAAAACAAGCAAGCGCTCCCTGCTTCCTATCTTATCATTGACCTCTGGCTTTCTGACAATGCATTTATCAGGAAACTAATAGTTCCAGATATTTACAGTGAATGAATCTACGTAAAGTGGCAACCAAAAGCAGGCCAAGACTTTAAAAAATAAATGGGGTTGATACTTTGGCCCTCCCAGTTACAAATCACTGGGTAAGACAAAGATTCAACAGGAATGAAATCAGTTACTTTTCCTAACCCCACTCTCATTTTTCAGAAAAATCACAAATATGTCTACAACATGTACCATGAGGCATTGTATATATTTATTTCAGATAGTCTGTGTCATTTTTGTGACTGGGTAAGAAGAGGTCTTTGTTCCATCGTTAAATCCCTACGGTGAGATATATAAGCAAGATTAGAAGCAATGCCAGTTCTCCAGAGTGTTTCATTGTTTTGCTTTATTTTTGCTCTTGTGAAGGTTAATGGACTTGTAGCCCTGAGAAATGAGCTTCCTAACTCTAGAAAGATATGGCTATGACAGCTATGATGCCTGGTGTTTAAATTCCTCCTGTCCTCTCTATCTCTGACATGGCTATAAAGGGGAAACGTGAATGTGTCCCTTTTAATTTAGTTTGTGAGATTGAATTTGTTGATTTTTCTCTTGATTACATTGTAAATGCCATGTGATGCCCACACGATAAGGCACCTTCTAAATTGTAGAGGATTATGTTGTAAATTCGACATGAGTTCCCAGCTCTTAATACTTTCACAAAGTATGTCAGTGAGATAAAAAGCATGATCTCTACATAAAGATTATACCTGTGAATCCATCACTCAAACATGCACAGAAAGAACTGCAGATTGCAGAACAAAAATCTGTAAAGTTATACCTTGGGGTAAATTGCTACTACTTTTTACTTCTTTGAATGAGTGTATTTACCTTTCAGTTCTGGAAAAGTCATTCCACTAGTGTAATATTTGTCTGTTTATTCTCAACTTGCATCATAGAATCTGCCCTTTGCCCACTATCCTATAGCATGTAACAATCTCAGACAAGAAGAGGGGACACTAAAGAGAATATACTGGCTTTCAAGTTTTGAGATCCACCTTACCCCCATTTTGTAAACACTGAGATCCAAGAAGCTTTTTCAATTTTTTAATCAAGCTATCAAACTTCTACTTAAGGCTTCCAAATCCAACTCCAGTTTCAACTTCATTCTCATGTTCTTTCTGTCATTCTATAATTCATGCCATATAGCTACAAAAAGAAATGCTGTCTTTGAGAGAGAGGGGGACTTTCCTAGGAAAATCTGCCATAACCTATGCCACCTACAATAAACTTAGTCTTTGCTTCTCAGTCATTTATCATGGAGTTTCTTAGGGGTATTCTGCAACAGAACTTATTTATCATCTCCATTCTTCCCCAAATTTAATCTTATTCCTTACTCCCTCATTCTACACAGATGATTTTTCCCTCTGAGATATTGTGATTTATAGCAAGAAACATATATTTGGTCTTGGTCCCAATTTATGGCACAGAACCCCTAAAACTCTTGGAATTTCCTAAGTGATAAGAGCAATAAAGGGTATTTTGTTATACTTTAAAAACCCCTTTCAGTCATAGTTGAGTTTACCTTAATAAGGTGAAATTTGGAAGTTCACTTTGGAAAGCCCCTAAGAGTGGTGGCTATTTGCCAGGGGAACTGACCATGTGATTAGAGAGTTGGAACTTTTAGCCACTCCACTCCTCAACTTTACTTCTGAGTAGGGTGGAGGGGCTTATTGTTGTTCAGATGCTAGGTCATGTCCAGCTCTTTGGACTGTTGCACCCCATGAACTGTAACATTCCAGGCTCCTCTATCCTCTACCATCTCCTGGAGTTTGTTCAAATTCATGTCCATTGAGTTGGTGATGCTACCTGACCATCTCATCCTCTGCCTCCCCCTTCTCCTTTTGCCTTCAGTCTTTCCCAGGAGCAAGATCTTTTCCAATAAGTTGGCTCTTCGCATCAGCTGGCAGAAGTATTGGAGCTTCAGCTTCAGCATCAGTCCTTCCAAGGAATATTCAGGGTTGATTTCCTTTAGGATTGACTGGTTTTATCTCCGTTACAGTCCAAGGGAGGGCCAGAGATAGAGTTTAGTCATCACTGGTCAATGAGGTAATCAATCATGCCTATGTAATGAAGCCTCCTTAAAAACTCAAAGGACATGTTTCAGAGAATTTCTGAGTAGATATGTTGTTAGGTAACGTGTCTGGAGAAAATTTTGAAATTAACTGCCCAGTACCTTGCCCTGTTCATCTCTTCATCTGGCAGTCCCCAAGTTGCATTCTTTTTTGTAATAAAGTGTAAATCTAGGAGGTAAAATGTTTTCCTAAGTTCTGTGAGCTGCTCTAGTAAATTAATTGAACGTTAATAGTGGGTCATGGAAACCTCTGATTTATACCTGGTGGGCCAAAAGCACAATAAAATCTAGACTTGAG